CAATCATTGCTCCCATTTGCTGTCATGCAGGCACGCACGAACGCACGCACGCACGCACGCACGCACGCACGCACGCACGCACGCACGCACGCATTCACGCACACACGCACGCACGCACGCAAGCATTGCTCCCATTTGCTGTGGAGGGGATGAGAAGGGTGAGGAGGAGAAGGAGAAGGAAGAGGAGGAGATGAGGAGGGTGAGGAAGAGAAGGAGGAGGGTGAGAAGGAGGAGGAGGAGAAAGAGAAGGCGGAGCCGGAAGCACCTCCTTCTCCCTACTTCCTCCGCTCCTCCTTCACTTTCCCCTCCCACGCCTCCNCCATGTATGATGTACATGTATGATAATGTACTGACTCTGACTCCCAGCTGGGCCACATGTCTCCGGCATTCATTTGTTATAATCATCGTCATCGTCGTCGTCGTTGTCGACATCTACCGTCACACAGACGCACTATTCGCTCTGATGTGTGAATAAATATATTGTGTGTATGTATGATTATACTGATCGACGCATACTGATACGCACGCACGCATGCACGCACACACGCACGCACGCAAGCATTGCTCCCATTTGCTGTCATGCACGCACGCACGCACGCACGCCCCCGCTCCTACATGCGTTCCCGGTACGTGACCTCGTCGTCCTCGTTGTCGATAAATGGGATCTCTCCCCTCGTCAGCATCCCGTTCTCGGCGAGGATAGGCCGCCGGACATCCGCCCTCTTCCCTCCTCCTCTTCCTCCTCTCCCGCTTCCGATGTTGTTCGAGTTGTTCGTGTTCGCCGAGAAATTTGCCGACGTGCTCTTCGACTTGTAGCCGCCGCCGGTGGCGCCACCTGAATGCGACTGCGATGAGATGACGTCACGACCGCGTCGCTTCTTGAACGTGCGCGTCGTCAGCAGCTGCCACCAGGCGGCGCGCGCTTCGGGATAGTGCAGACAGCGGACGACGAAGATGAGGAAACCCTGGAGCGAGTTGGCGATGCAAAACACGTAGGCGAAGACGATCTTTGCGTCCCCGCCGACGCCCATCGCTCCGAAAACCCACGTGATGCCGAGCAACACCATCACGGTGAGGGCGCCACGTACCTGCGCCGACGTGACGCCTCCGCTGCCGAGCGCGCCAACTTTTCCCGTCGTTTTCGTGCTCAGGAGCGTGCGCGTTACGAGCGTGAAGATGGCGCAGTTTACAAGCAAGATGGCGCACGCGGGACCGATGAAAGCTCCGTAGTAGACTGCAGCGCGCTCTGGCGACAGCCGACAGCTGCGGAGAGAGAGAGAGAGAGAGAGAGAGAAGCTGTTAATATAGGCGGAGGAGAAGGAGGAGGAGGAGGAGGAGGAGGAGGAGGAAGTGAGAATGAGGA